TTGGCAGCCTCCCTGTGTTTGTTTCTGTGTATTAGGTAGAACTGCTTTGATTCCTTATCCGCATACCTGTCCAGCTGTATGGGGCAGAGCCTTAGGTATTTGCCAGGGCAGGGTAACCCGCTTCACCTGCTTTGCGGTTCTGTGCGGGGGGAGTTCTTGGAGAGGGGACAATGCCACTGCCTGGCTTCTGGAGGCTGGCCTGGAACTTTCCCCACGCCCAGTCACTTCTCCCACTTCCCATATGCAACTGCACCCTTCTAGCTGCTGCCCTGGTGTTGATTTTCAGCCTGGGTGGTTTTGCAGATATTCTAGGTCTGGGCAAGCCCTTTAAATGGTCTCTCCTGAGTAACCGGCAGTTTCTTCCATTGCCCCAAACCCCACTGGTTTTTACAGCCAGAAGTTATTAGGCTTTATCTTCCTGGCACCGGAAGCCTGGGCTGTGAGGTCTGGACTGGGGCTGGGATCCCTCACTCCCAAGGTGTCCCTCCTGATTCTTATCCACCATATGTGAATGTGGGACCGCCCGTTCTGCCACCGCTGCCACGGCCTCTCCGTGCCACCTCACATTTTCTCTGCCCTGGCTCCCCGGCTCTGCCCCTCCTACCCATCTAGATGGATATGGCTTCTTGAAATCCGTTATTGTCAGACTTCCACACAGTTTGATTTTCTGGCAGTTCTGGGTGTCTTTTGTTTTGAGGTTAGTTGATTCTTCTTGTGTTTGTGTGAGGAGGTGAAGCATGTCTACCTATGCCTCCATCTTGACCAGAAGTCTAAACTTATTTTAAATTGAAATGTGAGTGCTATTAAATAATAGTAGATAATTCAAAGGAAAAAACAGACAATTATCTGGTTCAATTGGATTTTGTCTGACATATTTCTTCAGACAGACACTGTTTTTAGCGTGGGTGGCAGAACATACATTAGAAGTAAGGAATCAGTGGCTTGTAATAATGATATGTAATAGGCATTCTCATTCTTTTCACACAAATCACAGACAAATCTGTTCCCAAAGACTCAAAGATTCATACGGAAATGAGAAACAAAAACCAGTACTGAAGGCCCAGTTCTCTGAATAAAAGAGGAAACACAGAAACACGAGGCAGCAAGTTTTCATTGATCATTTGTCTACCTGGGATCCTGTCAGCAGTATTCAGGTTCAATCCTCTTTCTTATCAGAATGTTTGTCTGGCAGTGTCTTTACGGATTATCTATTTCTGCTGAATAACTTGCAGCAGGCCTGCTAATCACAAGAGAAAAGCAGCTGCCGTTGGTGATGAAAATTGTTTTCCAGTGACTGATTGTGCTAATCAATCTTCTACAAAGGAAATCAGGAGTAAAAGATGGCCAATAATCGCAAAACACCGCTGTACACATGAAGAAAAATAACTGATGCACAAAGCGCAGAAAAGCAACTCTTGAAAAAATGTTGCAGCGTTGGGTATTTAAAAAGTGTATATATATGTTGGAAGGGAATTGTTCCCAATTTAACACCTAAGCCTTATGTTTAATAGGTGGGTAAGGACTCTGCTTACTTTACTCTGGTATTAATAGTCTTTGCTGATACTTTATAATTTGAAAGTAACCTGGGATTTCTGGTTTGGAATCTGAAAAATCATTGAAAGTTAGAAAAAATGATTAAGATTGCTGATGCGGGGATTACATTTAGCTTCTGATTATTTCCTGTTTATGATAATCGCAACTGAATTCACGGCAGAAAAATCTTTTAACGATTCCCAACTGTCAGTGTGGCTCAAGAAATAATCGCTAATGTTTCAGTTTTTGTTTACAGTTGACTTGTAAGTGCATTATGCTATTGCAAGTATGAAATCAAATGTAATGAATCTACAGGTATTTCTATGCAGATATCATCAAGTACCATCTGAAACTTACACTCCTCCTCATAAAAAAAAATTATGAATATTTTTTCCAATCCATCGTGAACTTAACACAAGTTTTTTAGGACTTTATAAGTTGAGTCAACTATATGAGACCTAGAATCATATACATGAGTAAAATATGTTAGATAATGCCTGAAATTTTGGAAATCAATTTTGGATGCTTAGAAGCAAACACCACATTTCTTCGAATCTAAGAAAACATTAATTGTAAGTCCCACTAAAAAAAATTAAGGGAGAAATATCACAAATAAAATTATGATATATTGCTTTAATGAAAGTCCTGCATGACACATGATCTGGTCACACCATCCTCTTTTTGCTTTGAAGTTTGCTCTTCCAAGTGATTTGGAAATTTCTCCTGCCTAGAGTGACATTGGTCAGTGTATATCAGGCAATTTCAAAAGGATGTAACAAAAACCTAAGACAACAGTATCTAGTTATGACGGGAATCTTTCTAAGGTCTCATGAAGACTTTTTGTATTTCTTTGCATAAAATCAGGAAATCATGTTCGTGCTCCCAGTGATAAGTATTTGCTTTAATAGCATTAAATTTATGCCCTACTGCTGTAGTTTCACGCCCATGTAATTCCATATTTCAAACCAAATGATATTGTAATCACTGAAACTCAACATGTTTAGTAACATAAATCCATGGAAATGATATTAAAAGCTATTACCAAGAATGTACATGGACAGGCAATGACAAGTACTATATAACTGCTAGCTAGACAATGGCAGTTGTAAGATACAGACACATCTGACTTCAGATAGGTTAAAATGTGAAAAGTGTACATCTTAGGATTTATAAAGTACGGTAATATATTGCAAAGTAAAATTTTAGAGATAAAGACGTTCAATTTCTTCATTTTCCACAGTAGCTCCATGAGGACTAGTGAATTAAGAAACTCTGTTTCAGATGGTGATAGAAACTAGATAAGAGTGTTAGTGTTTTTAAAAATATATATATTTTATTTATTTTTAGAGAGAGGGGAAAGGAAGGAGAAAAAGAGGGAGAGAAACACCGACGCCAGAGAGAAACATCAACATAAGTGTCCTCACTGGAGACTGAACCTGTAACCCAAGTACGTGCCCTGACTGGGAATCGAGGCAGCTTTTTGCTTTGCAAACGTCACCCATCCAGTAGAGCCACACCAGTCAGGGCAAGAATGTTAATTTTTCAGGCAATTTATACTTCATTAAATCTTATTTTGGTGTTCTGCCCCTTTTGAATGATTCATTACTTTATGATTTTCTCATTTTCTTGTGTTCAGAGCTGTTATTTGATTGAAGACTGATTTAACTAATCATTCTATCAACCACTGATCATTGAAAATGCTACATAAGTTGCTTTTATTCTTTATAAATTGAACATTATGCAATTTCAATATCTTATTTACTTTGTGGTAACTAAAGGCTAACAATATTTTCCTTGATTAATCTTCCTAAAATAATACTTTCTTTCTGCCGAATTAAAGGTCTTCCTTTTGTTTCCTGAATCACTTCTCAATTTCTCTATCCAGTTTCTAAGGCTTGTTATAATTTAGCCTCATCTAAACTACTCAATTTTATTTTCCTCTACCAGAAACCACATTATCTTGATTTTTAATTTGGTCATTATAATGAGTGCTCATAAAATGCCTGTGAAACTATTCTTCAATCTCAAAACATTAACTTCTATCCAAGGAATCCTCTGAAAGTTAAATAATTTATTGTATTATTTAGCTTTGGCTAATAGCATGCAGTGTGTACCACATCGGGTCTTTGAGTGTTACTAACTCTTCAATGCATTTGACAGAACCAGAAAAGGAGGATCTGGAGTATCAATTTTGACTTCTCCACCTGGCTGTAGTGGTCCTTTTTAACTTTGGTTTTAGTGGTGCTCGGTAGATATTGTCACACATTAGGTGTACGTGAAAACTTTCTCAAGCAGTACATCCTCCTTTTCATTCTTTTCTCATGACAGTATACCTCTGTCAGTAATGAAGCTTCTTCCTAAAACAAAAAACCAAATTTAAAAACCATTAAACCAACCATCACTGAGCACATTAAAATTATTACTATATAACAGATGGCTAATACTGACTTTTGGTAATTATGTCCCTTACACATCTACTCTGCCAAAAAAAAATAGAGCTCAAAAATATTGGAGGACTAACACAATGTAAAAATAAGAAACTTCAAAGTAATAATAGACTTACCAGTACCTGAATGTGTTTGTCATCATTTAGAAAGTACTGGATCAGTAGAAGTGCTGTATTTTGCCATGTATAATGCACACTTTCGCCCTAATTTTTGAGGGGAAAATAAAGATGCGCATTATACATGGGTCTCATAATCCCACGTATAATGTGCACAAAATGTGGGCATGCATTATACACAGAGGCGCATTATGCATGGCAAAATACAGTTTGTTTAGCTATAGATCAAAGGACTGAGGAGAAATTATATGTTGATTGAGTTGGTATGTGATGGCAGTAATTTCGTTTCACTTTGTCTCTTCTATAACTTAATAGATTGCCGTCCTAAGGACAATCTTTAACCCAAAAGCCTTGGTCACTTTGTCATAAAGATTAGTCAACCATATATATGATATAAGCTGTCCTTTTCAAATTAAATTACATCACCTACATAATTATAGATATTGTGATTCAATCACCACTTTTTATATAGTGAAACATACACTTATATATAGCACCATATAGGTATGAGTTTTAGATTTACTGTGAGCACAGACTTTACAAATTAAGGTTTCATGAATCAATATATCAGAAAATAAATTTAATATTCAAAAACAGAGAATTTAATTAACATGATGGGATACAAACAACCATTAGAAATTATGGCCTCAAGCAATTTCTAAGTATATATAAAACATCAATCTTTTTCCCGCCAATTTCAATGCTTTTTATTTTTTTAATTTTTCAAAAATCATTTATATTATTCTATTACAGTTGACCCAATTTTCCTCCCTTTGCTCTCCCCTGTCCATCCCCCGCCCCCCGCCCCCGCTCCCACAGTCAATTCCCACATTGTTGTCGATGTCCATGGGTCATTCATTAATCTTATATTAAGTTCCTAAGAGCATACCAGCATACCACGTGAGTGCTCACTTCAGCAGCACCTATACTAAAATTGGAACAAAAGACAAGGTTAGCATGGCCTTTGCACAGGGATGACATGCAAATTTGTGAAGCTTTCCATATTTTTCAGTCAGGGCACATACCTAGGTTGTAGGTTCCCAGTCCAAGTGCATATGATCCCTGGTCCAGGCACATATCACATCAATGTTTCGCTCTCTCCCTTCTTCTTTCTCTAAAGGTAATAAAAAAAATGCACTTGGGGAGGATGAAAACATACATACATACATACATACATTCATACATAAATACACACCACTGTTGCGCTGCGCGGTGGCTAGACCGGATGCGCCGCCGTGGGGAAGCACCGTTGGGGTCGCCGCTGGTCTCAGCCTGGGCAGCAACCATGGCGTTGGGAAGAAGGAGCGCGCTGTGCGGGGCTCCCTGAAACTGAGGGAAACCGTGGGAGGCCAGCTGAGATGGGGGCAGGGCTCTGAATCCCGCAGAGCCGGTCCTGGCGTAGTCCCAGATGAGGGGAATAAACAGGAATCGTGGCAAATACTTCTCTGTTTGCCAGGAGAGCGGACGTGGGCACTTCCCTCTTAGTGGAGAAGTCCCTGGCACATCCCTCTAGTGGGGAAGGCCTGAGTCCCTTTGTCCAAAGGCTTTTATTGAAAAGGTTATCAGTGGGGCTAGGTTAACAGGAATGCACAGGTTATCTCATTATATCAGTATGTTAATGTTCACAGAGACTAGGTGATGCTTTGAAGAAAACTAATGGCAGGAACACACCGATTTACTTGGGTCCGGGAGGAGACTAGTATAAACAAGAGAGATGACTAAACATGAGAGCCTAGTAAACATAAGAGCGACTAAGGGTATAGGGTTAGAGTCTGTGAATAATGTAAATGTTCTCAGCATGAACTGGCTGGAGCTTCTGAGGGAAGAACAAAGCACACCTTAAAGAATTTACTTTTAGGCCTGATTTCCCTGGGAATAGCCAGATCTGGTTTAGGGCTGATTCCTGCATTGTTTCAAACCTGAGCCAGGCAGCAGGAGGGAGCCACCAAGAGACAAGGAGACTGCTTTCAGCTAGAATGAGGACCCCGGCCATGTCCAAGCCGAGCCGAGAGGTACGGGCCTTTTTGCCCTTTTTCCATGTCCCCCAAGTTCTTGTCTGCTGCCCATACTGGTCAATTGCCTGGCGTAGGTCTTGAGGGGTCTTACCTGTCATCAACAAAGACCCTCACAGGGCAAAGCAGAGAGGCAGGAGCTATGCCCCTGCCAAGGAGGACAGGCCAAGTCTCCTCAGGAGCCTGTTTCTCCAAGGCCTCCTGAGTATTTCCAGCCGTGGGGCCCTCCAGCCTGTCGGCAGGGCCACAGTTCCTGAAACCGGACAGGGCGTTTCCCAACACACCATCTGATCTAACTAATGTGATCCTAGCTAAAATCTATACATATTATATATAGCTAACATTAATATTTAGAAGGGTATACACCCAAATGTAAAATGGGAACAGAGATTGTTATGAGCCATGGCATTATGAAATACTATTCTGATAAAATGGGATTACTTTGGTGTTATAGTATGTTCATTTTGTTATTCTTTTTTTTTTCAAAGACAGAGCATTCCTATTTTCTGAAAGATTTATTCATAATATAATATGAAAATATTATATCATGCCTATTAATGAAAAGAGCCACCTACTAATAGGTCAGGATATTTGCAAATTGCATGACAGTGGTCAAATATGTATTGTTAGATCACTTTGGTTGCCATCAGAAATCAATGGTAATATCTATAGAATTGATAGATCCATAACCTGATAAATCAATGTAACCCATGGCTGCATTTGGTATAATAATAGGTAATGGGATTGTAATGCAGTAATATATGTAAAGTACCTATTATGCTGCCTAGAAATTAGTCAGCACTCATTAATGGTTCATTTTTCATAAGAAAAGTATGTTATTTTAGATTTTACTTAAAATCATATCAGCAAATATATGCATCTTTTAAAAAATTATGATAAAATTAGCTACATCATGTTAAACCAAGAACTGAGGAATCCATTACACCATATAGTAAACATGTAGACCTTGTGCTGACAGGTACTTTGAAATCCAATTGGTTCTGTACCCATCTGAAGGTATTTCAAATGATAGCTTTTCCAATTCATAGATTTCTACTTTAAGAAACTAGATTTACAGTTATATTAATTCAGAATTAATATATTGCAAACCTCACTTCACCTTTCCATACCTCTATAATCATTAGCCAGCCATGTCTGCAACTCTTAGAAAAATAATTATGTTAAGAAAGGAGACCATGACATTCTTATTAAAATAAAACACCCAATAATGGAGTGAGAAATTCCCAGAAGTTAATCACCACTGTACATCAAAGCTCCAAAATATTTTCTGAAATTTATTTTTTCTTTGTGTTTCTTGCTAGTTACTATAGAGACCACTGTACTAGCCAAGGGTGGAAATGAAGGTTGGAAAAGGCATGAGTAGAGACACACCCTAATAGCCACAACACTCAACTCTGAATACTTCACAGCACTGTTAACTTTAGTGAAGGTTAAGGTAATGGCTTCAATTTGTCATTTTTCAGCCCTGGCTGGGTAGCTCAGTTGGTTAGAGTGTTGTCCCCCTATGGCAGGGTTGCAGGTTCGATCCTGGGTCAAGGCACATATCAGAATAAACCAATGAATGCATAAACAAATGGAACAACAAATCAATGTTTCTTTTTCTCTCTCTCAAGTCAATAAATAAAAAAATTTTTTTTCAATCAACATGGAGCTGCTCCAGGTGAACCAGAATCAGGGATCCCAAGAAGAATCTGCAAGAAGGCAGAATCAGAGTCTGTCTTCTCAAGGAGGGTCCTTGGAACCCTTAGGTCATTCCACTGAACAGAGCTTTGAAAAGACCTGAGTAAGAGGATAACGAAAAGGAAACAAACACAGGGGAAAACACAAACCTAGATAATCTGATTCATAAGGTGCAGTTCGCTTGTTTTCAATTTGAGGACTTCTACAGAGAAGCTTCTCTATGAAACCATAGAGCGTTACCATGAAGCAAAAATTGCAATATCTGTCATGAAAAAGAGCACATATATATTTTCTAGATTCCTGGAGGTCTCGACTCTCCAACACTAAGTCCAAAATGAGGTTCTTTTGCTCATGCAGGCCCAAAGTTGACTTTCCTTATACGTTCTACTCCCTAGTCTAGGAACTAAACTCTTCCAAGCATTGACACAGTAAGGCCCACTTTTTCAAGGAAGACTCTGCAGGAAAACCTCATCTGAATACATTGTCACACTAGAACATAACACAGAATAGATCCAAATATACCGGGTCAGCTGTGGTGTCATAACACAATATTCCCCAACTTCCTCAAAAGCCTAAGTCCTGATTTTATTTACCACCCATTCTAGTATATTGGGACTCTGTTTCCTAAGGAGAGCCACTATTGTGGCTCCATTTCAGTTTTGCAACACTCCATACACCTAAAGAGTGTCGCTAGTGATTCTGTGTGTAAACACTGAATTGTTTTGATGCTATCATGATCTATTAATTTGAGTATTCCCAACTTAACTGATCATCTCCAGAAGACGGCATAAATATACTAAATAAGGAAGTGAATGAATACTTAGAAACAGTTTCCTGTTAAGAAATAAAAAGAACGTTTTAAAATTATAGTGCACGATCCAATTTTAATTACTTCCTTACTTATCACAGAGCTCTTCTTTACTGCAGACACTGGGTGTCTTATAAAAAATGCAAACATGCTCTCTTCATCTACAGTAATGTCAGTAACTAGAATTTTTTTACAGTAAAAATCTGTTTTAGTCCAGAGTCAAATCTAGAAAAGAATATAATCCTTATTTCAGTTTATATTTTTCAATATGAAATACCTATTTTTCTTGCCACTTTAAAGGAAATAAGCATTGATAAATGTTATTAACATTTAATGAATGATTAATAGCACTGCTTTTCCCATAATAATTTATTATAAGAAGTGTTTTATCATGTTCGAGAGACATGTAAATAATTCTATGTAATGCCATTTATAAATGCTTTATAACAGGATGAGAGAACATTATTTAGAACCTGTTTCAAACGTGAAAAAGGTAAAAACAAGCCTAATGACTGAATCTTAAAAGTCTGTGTTCTCATCAATCAAGATTCTTAAATCATTTCTAAATGTTACCTCAATTTAAAAGGCAACTGCCATTTCTTATTCCGTTTGCCCTCAAGTAGAAATAAAAAAATCTACAGCAATGAACCTGAAGTGAGCACTATGGTATAGAATTGTTAGGTGCAGTGGTAACAAAAGTTCCAGACCATTACCTGTCATCAAAGCCTAGAATATTCCGTTATTACTTTTAGATAGATTGTAAGTAAGGGATATATTAGAAGGAAGGAGTTTATGACACTTTTTAGATAAACCTTTCAAACTAATTTACTGAACTAAACCTAACTTAGAAACAAATGTGACCCATCATTGGAAAATGGGAAATTTCCAACCTTATGTGGCATTTTTCTTCTTCCTGGCCTCTTGATGGAAATTTTATCTTAATTCTGTCATTGGAGATTCATGGAATGTCATAACCACTTCCAGAAAGTGTGGGGAGGATAAATTTCGCACTGGCCCCTGATGGAGGTAAGGCGTCAACAGTGCACTTTGTGTGGGTGGGGCGGAATGGAGGAGCGAGGTGGGGTAGGGGACTCCATAGAGGTTGAGACCGCCTTAGCCACTGGTCAGAAATTACATTTGAGGAATTTAAGATCACATTTTCATTATACAACCCATCCTCCTTCATGCCCCTCATCTGTTTTTTTGTAGGGTCCAAACCATTAGCTAAATTCTTGAGCACGTACAATCAGAAATACCATATTCAGATAAAATAGAAAAATAAATTTTATATAGATTTGGGTAAAATAAACTGAAGAAAAGAAATAACAAAACTCCGACACTGCTATAATAAGCACTAATCCAAAATTTGACAAAAGCCATTTCACACATTAAAAAGATCTATTTAATACTGTAGTGGCAGTTTTGTTAAATAGGAGAGAGTTGCCTAGCCGACGTCTCCAAGACTGTGAGTTCTCACTCGGTTATCTC